TTGAAAATGTGTTTTTTCTGTTCTCCAATAGCAGACATAACAAAAGGCAATTTGCTTTCACCTGATGCAGAAGCCGGTGCATTTTAGCTATTTTACTCTGGCCTTTATCAAGTCTCCGGATCTTTGCCAAAAAGAGAACTTGATCATCCGATTGTCCCATTTAACAGTACTGAGTCCCAGTGTGATAATGTCGTACTGTCATGATAGGTTAGAAGAAGCTTGCAGCCTCTGCCGTGGCCCAGAGGAAGCCAGGCACTAGTCCATCTACCTGAGACTTCTTTGCCGTGAAGGAAACATTACATACAACATTATAGCAGAACATTTACTACAAATACTGTTTATACCAAATATCTATATGTTGCACCATATTCCCCAGCCAGCACATATGCTCATGGGGATGGATGTAGGACTACTTTCGTCCAAAGAGTCGTGCGGGGAATTAATGCTTGCCAATTCTGAGCCAAAGTATCCCCGAGTCAGTGCATGGCCCTCAATCTCATTCTTGCCTTGCATCAGAAACCTGGAAAATATGTGTTCCAGATGGCATAGCTGTAGGATGGAAGTCTTGATCCTTGCAGCCCTGCTGAGAAGTATGGCTGCCCACAGTAAAGAGCACACATTTGTATGTGAAACCCAGGAGACTGGGGTGGTGGTTTGTTATCCATGGAACAAGATGGTCAACCTGACTGAAACAAATATCCCACTGAGCAACAACAAAAAAAAATGCCCAAAGCCAAACAATATATTTTTCCATTTTACTGAAACTGGGGATAATGTGGAATAGAAGAACCTCGGACTTTTCTGCATCATTTGAAGGCATTTTGAGAATTTCCTATGTTTAGATAATACGTGTATAGTTTACCTTTAAAGAACAATGTGAGGGGGGAAGGGGAGGGGGGTGACGGGCATGGAGGAGGGCACTTGGGGGGATGAGCACTGGCTGTTATATGGAAACCAACTGACAATAAACTATTTAAAAAAAGAACACTGTGAATGCATAAATAATACTAAAAGCAATGTGTTAACAGGGGGCATATTTGGAGGTGTTTATCCGTACTGCTGAGGGTTTTTTCCCATAAGTTTTTTTGCCAATGCACGTTTCCTGTACCTGGTATGGGGTAATATGTCTTACCCCATTCTTGCTGGTGTTGTTTATTCTTTTCTTTTTTTAAGTTTACTTATTGATTTTTTAAAAATGCTTATTTATTTTTGAGAGAGCACAAGCAGTGGAAGAGAAAGAGGGACAGAGGATCCAAGGCAGGCTCTGCACTGACAGCAGCGAAATCAACCTGAGCCAAAGTTGGACTCTCAACTGACTGAGCCACACAGGTGCGTGTAGTTATTTATTGATTTAGAGAGAGAGAGTTTGTGTGCACACAGCTGGGTGTGGGGGACAGAGAAAGGGAGAGAGAGAGGATCACAAGCAGGTTCCTTTCTGTTAGGGCACAGCCTGATGCAGGGCCCAAACTAACGAACCATGGGATCATAACCTGAGCCAAAATCGAGTCAAGTGTTTAACGTACTGAGCCACCCACGTGCCATGTTTATTCTTTATTTTGTATGACTTATAATCAAATGAAAAGCATCTAGTTTAATTTGTGTACCTTTAATTTTTGGTGAAGTCAAATACTTCATATATTCACTAGCCATTTTAATTTATTATTTTATGAGTTACATTGACATTTCTTCCCTCATTTACATCTTAGGTTTCTGGTAGCTCTATTAGTCATTACAAATGGTTTTCCTATTTTGTACTGTCTCTTATTTTTATTTTATTTTTAAATTCAAAGGCTTTTAATTATTGCAGTAAAATTATTTTTCTCCTCTGATAAATCTTCTTTCCTTTAGGCTTTAGAAAGGCCTTGCCAATCCAGGGATCATATAGGTGCATTTACTATACTTTGGGGGGGGGGAATATTTTTGGCATGTTTTTACAGCTAACCTTTGATTGATCTGAAATGCATTTATTATAACATAATAGAGAAAGTTAATAGTACTTTCCAATCATCTCAGCTCCATTTTTTTTTCCTGCTGATTCACAGTCCTACCGTTATATAAATTATTGCGCAGTCTATTCTGTTCCATTGACCTATTGTTTGGTTCTTGTGGCAGCCTCACACATAAGTTACTTCAACTTGATAATAAGTCATATAGCTTATGGAGTAAGCCCTTCCTCCTTGCTTCCCATACTCACATATTCCAGTTAATCTTTTCCAAAATTTCACAGCTGCCACTACCTAATTATTTTCTCAGATACATTTTAGAATCCCATCGTTAAAATCCAAAAATAAACTTTTGTGGAAATTTTGAGATTCTGTCAACTATCTTTCTGTTTTTAATATGTTCATTTCATCTTTATATTTTTTCTTCCATTTTTTGGCTGGAAGTTTCTTTTGTGCTTTTGCTTCTTTCACAAGAAGATCATGAATACACTTTTATATCTATACTCTGCCCTTTTCAATTCATTCAGTCATTTAACCACATTTATAAAGCCCCTGCTGTAGGTGTGGGAAAATACTGTAATGACAAAGCCTCTCTGCCTTATGAAGGTTACAGGCTAGTGAGATGAGACAGACCATAATAAATAGATGAATTAAAATGTATCTTTATTTAAGACAATAAACGATTTCATCATATGGTTGTCCACAATGTATTGCCTTCCCATTATTTATAATTATTATTTATTTTATTAAATGCTGCAATCAAGTTTCTTTAGCATAAATGTCTTTGAACTTGCACAATCATCACCTTAATATAAGTTTCTAGAAGTGAGGTGCTAGTTCAAATGATACGCACAATTTATGTTTTGACATACGATGTCTGGTTTCCCTCCATATTGTTTACGGTAATTTATACATCCAACAACGGACCTGTTTTCCTCTCTCTTATAAAATCTGGATTTTGCATTTTCATCATGTCCAGTCTGGTAGGCAAAAGAAGGAGTTCATATTGTATCCGTTGTGCTTCTTTATTCTTTAGTGAGGTAGAATATATTTCCCTGGGTCTATTTTGTAGTAAATAGTTGTAAAAGAGCTATTTATGTTGTTCATCCACTTCACTATTAAAATTATTTTACTAAGTATTTTTAGCTGCAAGCAACAATCCCTCTGCACCTCAATTTCAATGCAGAAAAGACTTTGTAGGAAGGATTCCAGTTGGTTTATGGGACCTGAGGGCAGGAAAGCTGTCCTGGTCTCCTGAATCTTGGACAAGTGTCTCCATCTGTGTCCGACAGCTGCCTTTTTCCCCCTTGGTGGAAAAATGGAAGGCTATTTGCCTGGTATCATGCATGTTTTCTACTTTTCTTCAAAGATCATTCCTAATAGTTCTGGAATCTGGGAAGAAATTTGTCCAGGCCAGTAACACTTAAGTGCATTCCGAGCATTATGTTTCTTTATGCCAGCCTCTCATCTAACACAACATTATTTTCCCTGTACTCACCCTTTCTCTTGATGAGATACAAATACAAAACAGGAGGTGAACAGAACTAGAGAATCATAAAGCTGAATGGGATTGAAAGATCAGGTAGCCAGTTGCCCAAATTTCTACAATAAAGAAGCGTAGCCTTGAAAAGGCCAAATATTGGCTCAAGGTTTTATTCCAAGCAAGTGGGCAGATTTGAAACCTCAGCTCCTCTGCTTTCTAAGTCTTACACTCTTTTCCGAACATACCAGGACTTCTGACTCCATGTACATCAATCTCTTCAGGTGTTTTATTTCACAGATTGTATTCAATAAACTGGCACAATTATCTGAATTTATGTACCTCTTCATTATATAAAATTATATGCTTCGTATTGAGAGGCCTAGGTGAACAGAAAACCTAACCAGCTTTTCTGCTTCTGTATAAATGCTTGCATTGCGAGAATCCAAAACCTGACTTTAACTAAGCTCCTTCTGCTTCCGTACCGTTGCTTAAGGCTTGCGTTCCAGCCTCCCCGGAACTACCGGGCGGCTGCACACTGCTCAAGGCCGAAGAGACTGGCCACCACATCACCCCATCATACTACCCTGGCAGCGCCCAGTCGGGAGAGGCCAACAGTCACCCTCCACCTTACTTAAGGAGGGGCCTAGGGAGAGAGAAGTTAACCTGTTAGTCGCCGAACAAGACCCTAGACTCACTCTATGATTGGCTGAATTCGAAGGTATCCAAAATATTATAATTGGATCCCACCAACAATCCTGATGGCAGGAACCAATCAAATATAGTATACGTTCATATTTAAATATCAACCAATGACAAACCTGTAACCATAGAGATCCCCTGTCCCTCCCCACGACTTGTTTACTCCTGTCTATAAAAAGGCTACAAAAGCTTTGTTCGGGGCCTCTCAGCGTCACCGGCGACGAGTGCGCGGAGGTCCGGGTTCGAACCTGCCAATAAACGACCCTTGCCGATTGGCTTTGACTCTGGTCTCTGGTGGTCTGGTTTTGGGGTCTCTCGAACTCTGGGCGTTTCATTTGGGGGCTCGTCCGGGATATTTTCCCCCAGACCCACCAGACCCCAAGTCAACGGGTTGTTCCTACCACCGATCGGTAAGTGAGCCGGCTAAGTTTCTGTCTGTTTGTCTCAGCGTCGGTTTCTGTCTGTTTGTTTCGGTTTCTGCCGCGCGCAATCTGTATCAGTGACTGTATTGGCTCTGGCAGACGCGCTATAGAGCGGTCAGTCGGGACCGAGGAGACGTCCTCCGGCGCCCATCTGGGGCTAGTTAGCCCATCCGGGGTCTTTTTCGGCCCATCTGGTAAAAAGACGAAGCGGGTCGCTACCGCGAACCGGCGTGAGGCCGGCATCTTTTTCTGTTGGCTAGCCTTCTGTGTCTGTGTCTTTCTGTGGTTGTTAATTGTAAGCCCCTCAGTGTTCTACACAAATTGCTCTCTAGACAGTTGCAAAATTGTCGCCGCGCTTGCGAGTTAACCTATTTGTTCTTCCCTATAGGAACCTTTGGACTCTTTCTGAAAGCCTGAACTAACTAGACTCACTTTGTCTTTCTTATCTAGGCAATGGGGCAGAACCAGAGCACGCCTCTCTCCCTAATCTTAAATAACTTCAAGGAGGTCCGGCCCAGGGCTAACAACCTAAGCCTGGACATTCGCCGATCTAAGTTTATGACTCTCTGTCGGTCAGAATGGCCCACTTTCGGGTTCGACTGGCCACCGGAGGGTACTTTTTGTCTGTCGACAATCGCCAAAGTTAAAGCTAAAGCCTTCCTGCCAGGGAAGGAAGGCCACCCTGACCAAGTGCCCCATATCCTTGTCTGGCAGGATCTGGTTGGGAATCCCCCACCATGGATTTCTCCATTTCTCTCTTCAGGATCCTGCAAAATTCTTGCGGCTTGCCCCCTGCGGCTCGCCCCAAGTATTCCCCCAAACCACATAACCCCACGGCGCCCTTATATCCCGTATTACCCGATAGTCAGGACCCCCTATCCCTAGATCCTCCACCCTATCCTCCTCTCCCCATCGCCCGGGCCCTGCCGGAAGCAGCCGCCGCCCCGCCACCCGACCCGCAAGAAGAACCGGAAACGCGGGAGGCGGCGGCTGCGCGGGAGCCAAGAGGGCGCGGAACGACCGCCCTGAGTCCTGTTAGAAATGAAACTGGCCACGGAGGGCCAGCTGGCCGCACTCGCGGACGTTCTCAGCTGGAGCCAAGCTCCCGCCTCCCCGACTCCACAATAGCCCTGCCCCTGCGGGAAATAGGGCCCCCTGAGGACACAGGCAACCCCCGACTTCAGTACTGGCCCTTTTCTACTAGTGATTTCTATAACTGGAAAATCCAAAACGCTCATTTTTCTGATAACCCCAGAGATCTAATAGCCCTTCTAGAGAGCATTATGTTCACCCATCAGCCCACCTGGGATGACTGTCAACAGCTCCTGAAAATCCTGTTCACCACGGAGGAAAGAGAAAGAATTCAATTAGAAGCGCGGAAGGTGGTTTTGGGAGAGGATGGTCGACCTACCGCGAATCCGGACCTCATCAACGCAGCCTTTCCCTTGACCCGGCCCGAATGGGACTACAACGCAGCAGAAGGTAGGGGACGGCTGCTCATTTATCGCCAGACTCTAATGGTGGGTCTCCGGGCAGCGGGTGGGCTCGCAAGCCCACCAATTTGGCCAAGGTGTATTCAGTGACACAAGGTAAGACAGAGAGTCCCGCTACCTATCTAGAAAGATTAATGGAAGCCTTTAGACAGTATACCCCCATGGACCCTGAGGCCCCAGAAAACCAGGCAGCTGTCGTGATGTCTTTCGTAAACCAGTCCGCCTCCGATATTAAGAGAAAACTCCAGAAACTAGAGGACTTTGAAGGAAAGCAGATCCAAGATTTACTCCGAGTCACACAGCGGGTATATAATAACCGGGATGCCCCAGAGGAAAAACAAATCAGAGCTACGCGAGAAATGACTAAAGTCTTAGCTACCATAGTTCAGAAAGAGCAACCGTCCTCAGGAGGCGGCCACACAATGCACCCCCCCCCCCAGGCGGCACTTAGATAAAGATCAGTGCACCTATTGTAAGGAAAGGGGGCATTGGTTGTGGGATTGTCCTAAAAAGAAACAACGGCACTCGGACCCCAAACCATGGCAAACCAAGACAACCCCTGTCCTGTTTACACAAGATTCAGAATAGGGAGCACGGGGTTCGGATCCCCTCCCCGAACCCAGGGTAACATTACAAGTGGAGGGGACCCCGGTCCGGTTCCTAGTCGACACCGGAGCACAACATTCAGTACTAGTTAAGCCCCATGGAATAATGTCTGAAAAATTGTCCTGGGTGCAGGGGGCCACTGGGACAAAGAAATACCTCTGGACGACTCAGAGGACTGTAAACCTGGGAACTGGGACGGTAACTCACTCCTTCCTAGTTATCCCTGACAGCCCCTGCCCCTTACTGGGGAGAGACTTACTTACCAAAATGGGGGCCCAAATCCATTTTCAACCAGAAGGGCCAACCGTGACTAATTCCCACAATCAGCCTCTATCAGTTCTTACTGTAAAATTAGAAGATGAGTACAGACTCCATCAAACACAATCACCGCAGGGTCAAGACCTGGGACTCTGGCTCCAACGCTTTCCCAACGCGTGGGCAGAAACAGGGGGTATGGGATTGGCAAAACATCGCCTGGCCCTGTTCATAGAAATTAAGCCCGGGACAGACCCTGTTCGAGTGCGCCAATACCCAATGCCCACTGAAGCCAAAGCGGGCATCACTCCACATATCCGTCGCCTCCTAGACGCCGGAGTCTTACGTACGTGCCACTCGGCACGGAATACCCCCTTATTGCTGGTGCGAAAACCCCAATAGTGGGGAATATAGGCCGGTACAAGATCTGAGGGAAGTCAATAAAAGGGTAATAGACATACATCCGACCGTCCCTAACCCCTACACTCTCCTAAGTGCTCTCAGCCCTGAAAAACAATGGTATACTGTTCTAGATCTAAAAGATGCATTTTTCAGCTTACCTCTAGCACCCAAAAGTCAAGAGTTATTTGCTTTTGAATGGACCGACCCTGACAGGGGCATAAATGGACAACTCACTTGGACTAGGCTACCTACCACAAGGATTCAAAAACTCTCCGACCCTGTTTGATGAGGCACTACATGAGGATCTGAGTGAGTACAGACAACAATACCCTAATGTAACCCTCCTGCAGTATGTCGATGACCTTCTAATAGCCGCTGAAACGCCTGAGATCTGTATCCAGGGAACTGAAGGCCTCCTACACACTCTAGGAACCCTGGGATATCGCACATCAGCCAAGAAGGCTCAAATCTGCAGGCCGGAGGTAATTTACTTAGGTTATTAGCTGAAAGGGGGGCGGCGCTGGCTAACTGATGCACGGAAAGAGACGGTCCTCCGCATTCCCAGACCTCAGACGCCACGACAGGTGAGAGAATTTTTGGGTTCAGCCGGGTTCTGTAGACTATGGATACCTGGGTTTGCTGAGCTTGCAAAGCCCTTATACCAGGCTACTAAGGAACAGCAGCCCTTTGTCTGGTCAGAGGAGACCGAACAGGCCTTCCAACAACTTAAGACTGCCCTACTATCGGCACCCGCCCTGGGGCTTCCAGACCTCACCAAGCCCTTTCATCTATTCATAGATGAAAATAAAGGAGTTGCCAAAGCAGTGTTAACTCATTACCTGGGCCCATGGCTTTGGCCCGTGGCCTATCTGTCAAAAAAATTTGACCCAGTGGCAGCCGGATGGCCGCCCTGTCTCCGGATAATTTCGGCCACTGCCCTGATGGTAAAAGATGCTAATAAGCTGACCATGGGCCAAGAACTACAAATCACTACCCCACATGCTATAGAAGGTATCCTCAAGCAGCCACCTGACCGATGGCTAAGCAATGCCCGACTCACTCATTATCAAGGCTTGTTACTGAACCCCCTCAGAGTCTCCTTCACCCCCCCGACAGCCCTGAACCCAGCATCTTTACTACCCGACCCTGACCTAGGCGCCCCACTCCATGACTGCACAGACATCTTAGCACAGATCCACGGGACAAGAGAAGATCTACAAGATAGGCCCCTACCAGATGCGGAGATTACCTGGTTCACTGATGGGAGCAGCTTCGTCCACCAAGGACAGAGGTATGCGGGGGCCGCGGTGACATCAGAGACTGACGTTATATGGGCAGAAGCTCTGCCTCCAGGGACTTCAGCCCAGAGGGCAGAGCTAATTGCACTAACTCAGGCCTTAAACATGGGACGGAATCGAAAAATGACTGTGTATACAGACAGCCGGTATGCCTTTGCCACCGCCCACGTACACGGGGCAATATACTGAGAGAGGGGACTACTCACTGCAGAAGGCAAAGACATTAAAAACAAAGATGAAATATTGGCCTTATTGGCCGATATCTGGGCTCCAACAAAAAAATTGGCCATAGTACACTGCCCAGGTCACCAGAAAGGAACCAACTCAGTCTCACGAGGAAATAACCTCGCTGACCAGACTGCACGTCGGGTAGCACAGAAACCCGTCCAAATATTGTCTGTACAGTTACCAGACCCTGGGCCCCGAGATTTACCCCCACAGCCGGAATATACGGAAGATGATCTTGCCTGGATGCGCAAGTTGCCCATGACTCAAATAATAGACGGATGGTGGAGAGATTCTAAAGACTGCCTCATCCTCCCTGGAAAATTAGGCCATGAAATCTTGACCAGAATACACCATACTACCCATTTGGGGCCTCGGAGACTACAGGATCTCTTCCGACATTCTAAATTAATAATAAAAAACATCTCTGACCAAACAGAAAATATTGTAGCTGCCTGTGCAGCTTGTCAACTTCAGAACCCACAACCTCACACTACGACTCTAGGACATCTAAAAAGTGGAACTACACCAGGAGCTTACTGGGAAGTAGACTTCACTGAGGTAAAACCCGGTAAATTCGGCTATAAATATTTACTAGTGTTTATAGATACTTTTTCAGGATGGACTGAGGCCTTCCCGACCAAGAATGAAACAGCACCAATAGTTGCAAAGAAAATATTAGAAGAAATCCTGCCCAGGTATGGCTTCCCAATAATGATAGGGTCAGACAACGGGCCTGCGTTTGTTTCTAAGGTAAGTCATGGACTGGCTTCCATACTTGGGGCTGATTGGAAGTTACATTGTGCATACCGACCCCAAAGCTCAGGACAGGTAGAAAGAATGAACAGAACATTAAAGGAGACCTTAACTAAATTAACCACGGAGACTGGCGCTAACTGGGTAGAATTACTCCCCTACGCTTTGTACAGGGTCCGTAACTCTCCATATAAATTAGGTCTCAGGTCCTTTGAAATTATGTTTGGCAAACCCCCACCGATTATACCAGACTTGACATCAGAACTCATTAAATTAAGACAAGATAACAATCTCTTATCTTCCCTCAAGGCTTTACAGCGGACTCATCTTCCCTCAAGGCTTTACAGCGGACTCATGAGGCCATATGGCCCAAACTAAGAGAACTGTATGAAACAGGACCTCCACCCGTGCCTCATCAATATCGCCCGGGAGACTGGGTTCTGGTCAAGCGGCATCGGCAGGAAAATCTCGAACCCCGGTGGAAAGGACCTTACCAGATCATCCTGACAACCCCCACTGCAATCAAGGTAGACAACATCCCAGCCTGGATCCACCATGTCCACGTAAAGCCTGTCGATCCGCTGTCAGACTTCGTGGGACACATTAACACGGACACTACCTGGACTGTAGATCGGAGTAAGAAAAACCCGCTCAAACTAACCTTGCGTCGTGCTCCAAATAACCATGTTTAGCATAATTTCTGTTATAACGATCTTACAGATCTTGCCTGTAAGTTCATTAGGACACCAAAGTCCCCATCAACCCCTCCAGGTAACATGGCAGATCATTACACCTAATTCAAACCAAGCCATAGTCACTAAAGTTGAGCCACATCCTCCCGATACATGGTGGCCTACGCTTGAGTTTGATCTGTGCAGCCTATTTGAACAGTCTCTCAGCAAAAACCCCAAAAGACGACCCTGTGTCGAAACAGGAAGCTCTGGAATCACAGAATGGGGGCCAACCACAAACCAGGCATTACGCAGCACCTGTTTTTATGTATGTCCGGCCCCAACTTCTAATGACAAGGCAGCCCAATGTGGGAGTTGGTCAGACTATTACTGCCGGAATTGGGGCTGTGAGACTACGGGATCTTGCAGTTGGATCCGAGGCTCTCAATCTCTCATTTCCCTCCAGCGTAAAAGCTCAACCGCCCCCTGTAGGCCTGGCTCTGGATGCAATCCTCTACAATTAACATTCACCGATAAAGGTAAAAAAATTAAAGACTGGGACAAAGGTTTAGCCTGGGGATTAAAACTATATAAATCAGGATATAACACAGGAGTACTGTTTATAATCAAGCGGGTCCTTGCCCCCCTTCAGTTACAACCCATAGGTCCCAATCAGGTAATAAACAGGCCAAAACAGGCTCTCACAATACCTCCCAGACAGAAATCCACCACGATGCCCCCCAGTCCCACTCCCCCTAAACCTCCGACTCCCAAAATAGAAAGACAAACCAAAGCAGATACTGACCAGGCCAGAAAGAATATAGACCCCTTATGGGGAATGCTAACAGCAGCATATGAGGCCCTAAATCAATCGAACCCAGCTATGACAGAATCCTGTTGGCTATGCTATGATATACAGCCCCCTTATTATGAAGCCATAGGTCTTACTGCCCATTATAATATATCCAATGAAATATTCCTGGCAGGCTGCAGATGGGATCAAAAAAAGCCTGGTATTACCCTCCAAGCAGTCTCCGGTAAAGGCACCTGTTTGGGAACACCCCCCCCCCCTTGATGGATGCCCTGTCTGTAGTCTCAATAATCAGTGTAAAGTCCAGTCCAAATGGATAATTCCTCCTCCTGGTGGATGGTGGATCTGTTCCCAAACAGGACTAACCCCATGCCTAAATACTCAAGTTTTCAATTCGTCCACAGAATACTGTGTTATGGTACTGATATTCCCAAAGATCAATTATCATCCAGATGGCTACCTATACGACTTATGGACTTTGTTTGTGCCAACACTGCAAATAATGAGAACCAAGCGAGAGGTTCTAACCATAACACTAGCTGCTCTTTTTGGCCTTGGGGCACTAGGGACAGGAACAGGAATCTCATCATTAGCTACCCAGCACCAGGGACTCAATAATCTCAGAGCTGCCATTGATGAAGATATTGAGAGACTTGAACAATCAATTTCCCACCTAGAAAAGTCTTTGACTTCCCTCTCAGAGGTGGTTCTACAGAACCGTAGAGGACTGGACTTATTATTCCTCCAGCAAGGAGGCCTATGTGCAGCTCTAAAAGAAGAATGTTGTTTCTATGCTGATCACTCTGGTGTAGTTCGAGAATCAATGGCCAAAGTCAGAGAGGGCCTTGCCAAAAGAAAAAAAGAGCGGGAACAACAGGAGGGATGGTTCACATCCTGGCTCAATGGGTCCCCATGGCTAACACCCCTGCTCTCGGCCCTGGCTGGACCCCTTATACTACTTCTCCTACTTCTGACCCTTGGCCCCGTTATCTTCAACAAACTGCTAAACTTTATTAGAGATAGACTCAATACAATCCAGGTAATGGTACTAAGATCACAGTACCAACCCCTAGACACTGAAACCGTTTTCGTCTCTCTCTAATCTGTAGGACCCAAGATTGGCTCCTCAAGTATAAAAGAAAGGGGGGAATGAGAGGCCTAGGTGAACAGAAAACCTAACCAGCTTTTCTGCTTCTGTATAAATGCTTGCATTGCGAGAATCCAAAACCTGACTTTAACTAAGCTCCTTCTGCTTCCGTACCGTTGCTTAAGGCTTGCGTTCCAGCCTCCCCGGAACTACCTGGCGGCTGCACACCGCTCAAGGCCGAAGAGACTGGCCACCACATCACCCCATCATACTACCCTGGCAGCGCCCAATCGGGAGAGGCCAACAGTCACCCTCCACCTTACTGAAGGAGGGGCCTAGGGAGAGAGAAGTTAACCTGTTAGTCGCCGAACAAGACCCTAGACTCACTCTATGATTGGCTGAATTCGAAGGTATCCAAAATATTATAATTGGATCCCACCAACAATCCTGATGGCAGGAACCAATCAAATTTAGTATATGTTCATTAAACATCAACCAATGACAAACCTGTAACCATAGAGATCCCCTGTCCCTCCCCACAACTTGTTTACTCCTGTCTATAAAAAGGCTACAAAGGCTTTGTTCGGGGCCTCTCAGCGTCACCGGCGACGAGTGCGCGGAGGTCCGGGTTCGAACCTGCCAATAAACGACCCTTGCCGATTGGCTTTGACTCTGGTCTCTGGTGGTCTGTTTTTGGGGTCTCTCGAACTCTGGGCGTTTCAGTATCAGATTCTATTTTAATTAACAAGTATCTACCTGCATAACTTAAAATTAGAGCTTATTTACCAGCCTAAGATAGAAAAACATTATTTCTGGAAGACTGTGGAATTTTATGTTTCTTAACCTAATTTCAAAATTACAATCGTTCAAAGACTTTTATAGATGGAATTAAAATGCAGCATACAATTATTTAATTGAAATAATATAAAATTTCTTGACTGATACTTATCACACATAAATCGCCTGAATTATTCAGTTGTACTTCACTCCACAATTTTTTGTATGTACTTGTTAATAGTGCTGCTTAGCCATATGGAATGCCTAAAAAGTTGCTGCAGGGTATGACACAGAGAGCATCTGTAGTTTGATAGTATAAAACATGCGTAGTGATTTTCGTTCTTCCATTTCAGCAATTAAATTTTCCACCAACAAAAATGATTTTCTTCTGAATAATTATCATACTCTGATAATGTTTAGTGCTGTGACATAGGTAGGTAAATAGAACAGCAAGTTAACTTCATAGTTGTAATTAATATACCTGCAATTTAAGACAAACTACTCTCACAAGACTAAGATTATACCATTTTGATTAAAGAAGTGTACTGATATTTTATAATACATTTATTTGAATAAAGTAACACATTCTCATAGATTTAGCTTTGATATGCTTATTTGGAAGAAAGATGAACATTTTAGACTTCCATAAGCTGTCTTTTTTTGCAGTAAATCTTATGGCTGCCACAGAAAAATCATCAAAATTGTCCCGTATGTCAGAAATTTAACAAACATCTATACTTGAACACTCTTACTATCAAATGTAGATTACCTTTGCGTAGTGTATTCCAGTATGCAACGAATCAATGAAGTTTCCAAACACCATACTGATATCTTTCATCACCTATATTTTCTATCACCTAAAGAATTGTATTTTGAAAGAACCACTTGTTCATAATTTATGAGGTTTTACTGAAGCTTCTCTCTACTTCAAGTGTTTGAATGCTAGTTTGAGCCTCTCTCTTAAATATAAACTTAGCACATATGTAAGCCTATTTTTTAATAGCCAGTTGGAAATTAGGCTTCTCCTAGCTGCTTTCACAAAACCAGTAGGGTTTTTTTGTATGTCTGAATGTGATGATTTTCTAGGTATGCAAAATTGGTCTCAATCTCAGGAAGTTTCTAGGCCTTTACTTGATAATCTTGGGATACTACCATTGGTTTAGTTGCCTTTGGACTCAGGTCGAAAAGCAGCAGAGGACTGATACCTCTGATCATTCAGCTTAACGTCCTGCCATTATGGAATTTCTCTGACCTGCTTTGTGGCAGTAGGCCAATCCTTCATGTAATCTCTTTTAATGTGTACATCTCTAACAGATGGATTTACCAAGCTTCTGATCTCTGAGGGCTAAACTGAGGCATGTAGCGTCAAGTACTGTTCACTGTTCTAGAATACAAATATCTTTATTGGATTGATTAAGTGATTTCATCCCCTAGCTTATGGTGTCTACACTAAATCAGTGAGGATGTTCACATATATATGTATGTTCATATATATATATATATGTTCATATACTATACATATGTATATTGTTTTTCAAAGCATCACCAACAAATTTAAAATATAAATTAGATGGTATTAGCTGGCTTCCTCTTCGCTGTGTATAAATGCGCAACTGAGGATTTCATTACAACCGTGCTACAAATTCACATTACAAAAAAGTTGGCATGCCTGTTTTAAAAGTGAAAAAACAGTAACTAGTCAGATACCTTTAGCATTTCTACTATTTTGAGGAACGTGCATATGGAAGATGAAGTAGTAAGGATAAAATAGACTTTGCCAAGAGAGGAACTGAAATTTACACTTTGAAGGTATCTTTTACATGGATCTGAATACAATAGTTTTGCTCTTGACTACTTAAAACATATTTTCCAGCTTCATTTGCTTCATAGGTCTGCTTTTTTCCATCAGAGATTTAAATTTAATGGTAACTTGTTTGTTTTTACCCAAACAGATCCTTTAGGACTGACTATGCAATGCTATAGGCAGATGAAATAAGTAGCTTAATTCTGGTACACTCTCTGGCTTTTGACACTGATGTGGTATTTTTATTCATAAAATACTTCTCTAGAGATATACTGGTTTAGAAGCCTACCTTAAATGATTGCAAAATGTCTGAAAGACAGAATGCTAATTAAATGTTTGGACAAACATTTCAGCCCTTGCCACACCTGAGCGAGGAGGGAGTTTTGGGAAAAGGGTGTTCCCCCTGAGGAGGTAAAGACCGCTGATGTGCATAATGACTCACTCATTAGCAAATGGTTAGCAACTTATTTATAGGAATTTACAGGCAGAGAATTTTGTAGAATTGCCCAGAAGATTCCTAGAGCAAGTAGTAAGTATTATTTTCATATTTATTTATAAGACGGACTTAGTTATCTCCAGGCAAGAAGAGTATTTGTCTCTTATAGCAACCATTCCAACATATCAGGCTTAACCATTGTGATCTCTTCGCTACTGTCTAATTAATGGCCTAAGTCGACAAAAGAAAGAGGTATGTGTAACACAGGAACCTTGATTTTTCTGTACAGATTTTGACATCAAAATGATTCAAATTCCTAAGGTGATATAAAATCCTACAACTGTAATGGGTTTTTCTCCATCATTGATTTCAGTCATCCAGAAGACATGTTGTTTCTCTATTTATATATCACTCTCTGTGCTAGACATCATGTTAAGTGCTTTACAAATGCTAATTTATCTAATCTTTAGAACACCTCTATCTGTTTTAAACACCCTCCCCTTTACAGATAGAGAAACTGAGACACAATAAGGTAAAACAGCTGTCTAAGATACCTGCCTATTAATGTCAGAGTCTGATACCACTCAGGCCACCTGGATACAGACGGGGTGCTCTGAACGCTTTTCCGTGTTGTTTCTCAGGTTCCCTACTTTCCGTTTTTCTGCTCTGCATTTGAGAACATCAAATTTGTTTATGAACAGATGAGAAATTGTATGTCAGAAGATGGGGAAAAAAACCGGGGAGGCGGGAGACCCAAGAGTGAAAGTCTCTGACAGGGACAGGCATGCATGTAAGGACGCCTGTCACCACTGAATGTTAAAGTATAAACTCCCACTTGGGGTACTTTCAACCACAGCCTGTTGCTAATGTTGACTCGAGGTAATAAATACATGCTATAACTTCACACCTAGAAGACCTGCAGAAATCAGCATGCCCATGGAGATAAGTGTCGTTCAGAGGAAGCTGCTACTGTCAAATATGGGACAAAGTACTTGGGTTACATCACAGGTATGTGGGAAAGTTGCAGACACTTTTTGCCAGGACGTATATTGCCCTAAACTTGAGGCTAGAGATAAGCATAAAATAGATTAAATGTAGTAACCATATAATTAAGATAACAATACCAACCTATATCTCAGAGATATTGTCCACAGTAACTAATAAAGTGATTATAAGCAAAGAAGTTCTCTAGTAAATTAGACAGTAGATATCTCCTGATAGTAATAAAATCTGTGAACAAAATTTATACCTTTCTATTTTAATGAGGAACCAAAGCAACTTTTTAAGAAATATGTAACTGTAACTTCTTTGGCTGTTTTTTCTCTATATGCATTGCGACGGATGTAAAGAATATTCATAAATGTATTAAATTATACTGACATGGCCATGTGTTCATAAAATAAGGTTTGGGATTATGGCAAATGAAACTTTGAGCCTTAATCCAAAAGAAGAAATTCTTGGCAAAACTATGACAGTCACTGGTCTAAATGAATCCTAGAGATCTGAAAACGTGTGCGTTCCCAGAAATATTTACTGCAAGGAGAGGCATAGGAATGAGGGTCTGAAGTCCACTGTCTTCTGGCGCCTGCTACAACAGGTATGGAATCCCCAGTTGAATATTTCGGTGTTTCAGAGAGTCATAGATGGCATTTAGATGCTCATATGAGGGATGTAAGTTGATTGGCAACATGACAATAGGGAAAGTAGCCGCTACAACTGTTTCTGTCAGAGCTCTTCCTTGAGGAACAAGCCTCTCTGACTTTTTAGTTAAAATCTAAAGCCAGGTGGGACAAGATCACTTATTCTAACAGCTATTAATCATTCATAAGTGCGTATTATTTCTAAATCCCAAAATCTAGCACAATTTATTTTGTAAAAGAGAGAGAGAGAAAGCAATTCCATTTTCAAGTTTCATATATGTACTTGTGTGAACTGAAGTTGATGATAGCCGAGGAAACCCATTCATTACATATTATGAGGTTTCCTTTTTGAGAATGGTATGTCTTACCTTTTTCTTTCCTTTTGTTCTTAGTTTAAACCAAAGAGAAAGGGTTTTCTATGGTGCATTTCAGATCAAACTTGCCCTTTAACAAGAGATTATAAAATCAGAAGTTAGGGAGCAGTCTTTGACAAATTTAATTATTTTATTCAACAATTTGTAATCATTTATTATGTAAATGAGGCATAGATGTTATGGGGATGTGGAGAAGATAGAAGGTTTGCCAGATTTAAAATTTAATGAGAGATAATATCACACCCAAAGCTATGTAATAATGTATTGTGTGTATACATTAAAATATCATCATACC